TTACTTGAATGCAGCTGAATTCAGATGGAATTCGAATGATTCATAAATAAGTCTAAAAGGAATGACAATTATGCTTTCGTAGTTCACTCTAAATACTTTTAAAAACAGTTCTGTAAACATAACCGGGACATTCAACCCTTAGATAATTGTCAATACTGGGGGTTTCTGAATTATATACAGCTGTCGAAGCCTAGCACCGTGTTTTTCCCGCACCCCTATTAGTGGCATTATCCAACGGGCAAAAATGTGCAGCTTATACAACGTTATGTAAAGTACTGTACATAAAACACTCTGATCTGTACATCTTAATCACTGGAGAGAGATGCAACTGACTTTCAAGAATATTTAATAGAATACTAGCATGATTAATTATACCTTTATACTAATCAGTAGACTATTATTAACCATCAAAACCTGGAAGGATATTACGTGGAAAACAAGAGATCTTATATGTTTTCAAACTATATAAACAGCCTCTTCCCAGAATACATCACCAACTTATATAACGCCTGTGTGATGATACACGAACCGGAAATTGCTCTATGTATGCCTTCACCGAAAGATGGCACAATTGAAAATACATTACAGCATTTTTTGAACATATTTGTGGCTTACACCCAGTAAATAAGATTGATTGATCGATCGATCTGTAATTGAAAAAAGCATTTACAGCATTGTTAGCGATGTTGGTAAAATTCCTTGCCTTTAATGAATGATTTTGTTACTCTGATAATGTACATGTACCTTGAACTCAATTTACACAACAGTCAGTATTGCATTTACATATGAACATGTCAGTTTTCTTTGAATATTCATGTTTTGTTTCATAAATATTCATCTTTTTCTCTGCCTCTGACTTGAGGAATAATCATGGAGCAGAAAAAAGGAAGATTTAAGATACTAAATTGCCCCATTTTAGACTTTAACAAATTTCTTATGATTTTGTCATTACATGTAGGTAGGGGAATAAATGAGGAAATATAATAATTTAACTGCCCCCACCCAAACACATAATGAATTCTATCAACCAAATCAAGTTTTCCAGAATTTTCAACATTTTTGAATAAGATGCATACAGCCTTCCAATGTTTAGAAGGAAAAGAAAATTACCAATGGTTTAAGTGATTCACTCATTCACACTTTATTGGGCCAATGCAAACCATACATGTTTTCTAAAATGGGAAAGTTCCCTCTACTTGAGCACTTATCTCCTTTTCCCTCCAAATCTTGTTTAATGCCATTGCCTCTCAACCTCATTATCAGATTTGCTGTAATCCGATATCGGTATAATGCTCCACGACTCAACACACAGCCCATCTTCAAGTGCAATGCCAGCATTTCAAAGCATACCCTTTATACTCCTAAAATTCACACATTTTTTTTCTTCCTCTCTTAATCCTGTTTCGTGTGTTAAATCAATCAAGGTGGGAGAAATATGAATAGATTTCCGATACGGCTTTTGTGAATATTATTCTTGGAGAAGCAGTGGTTCTAAATCAGAAATTGCCTGCTGAGAAATGAAAGAGCAATAACTGAATCATCTTTTCCTAGTATAGATTGACCTGCGAGCTTTAAAAAAAAAAGGTATTGATCTTTATTTCTTTGGATATGAATATGAGTATTCAGCACAACAGGAAATAATAGTTTTTTTTTAAAGTAAAGAATTCTCTTTGACTAGAAGGGTATTGAATAAATTTATTGTGAATTTCCCAAGGCAATCATGCTCTCAAATTTCTTGATGTTTACGTTACAATCTAAAAAATAATAAGGTTTGGGTAAAAATTGCAAGACATAACGTTTTTTTACGTCTAAAACCAACTTTTTAGTTATTATATACCAAATATCCCATGATTTTCGCTCAGTTTGTATAGTAAAAGTTAATATCATGACTGGGCAAAACATGATCATAATCAGACACAAAATTGCCTCACATTATTTCCCTCTTGTTGAGCATTTTTTTCTTTACCCAACATCATGCTTATCACAGAAGATGAATTGCAGAAGATGACTTTCAAAACCATCTTGCCGAGAACGCTTCACCAACTTTAAAGATGAAGTTGAGTTCTGGTCATGCGATTGCATTGTGAAAGAAACGGTGTGGAATCGATCAGAAAAGGTTGATCATCTAGCATATAAGAATTTGTTTGTATTGCAAGGTTCTGGAATCATCAAAATGATAAGAAATTTGGCCAAGTCTTGGTAAAGTTACAAACACTGTACACAGAAATATGTATATGGGACTACACGAACACGTGGCATAAAAAGCCCCCCCCCCCCCCCCGATTTTTACGATGTTACATGCATATTGAGAATATGAAGGCATTTGAAGAGCCATGCTTTTCAGGGAACATGTCTTATCTGATGTTCATCCACACTTGCATAATAAGAATGAGTAACGCTCACAAATTTTTTTTCACCTCTTCCCAGAACTCAACCTTCTCTTTAAGATCATCCCTACGAAAAATGTTTAGAAATCGGCGAGATCAAAGTCAGGCTCCGTCTTCTGATTGCATGGGACCTTCATGAATGGATGAGTCTGACTAAAATTTAATTTCCCTTCTTTTTGGCCCTGAATGTTTGTTTTCTAATAAACACTCCATCACATGAGCGATGGGAAGCATCATGAAAATTAAGACTCATATGATTAAAAAGCGTTCCTCCTAGCATTGGCAGCCCCGAAGCAGGGGGAGTTTCATTCAAACCCACCCACCCTGGATAAACATGATTATCCTATTTTGCTTTGCTTGAAAATAATGAAATGTTTTCATTGATCTTTACCTATACAAACTGTGCGAGGGATTGATAATTTCACTCAGACTGTTACCTGGATATGTATGACGCACAATATATTTGGGGATCTTCTAATAAAATTGACAAAAGACACGAATATACACAAACTTCAGGCTCTACCACATGCATGTAAAGCTGTACACTGTACACCAAGTACTTGAAAACCATTAGAAACCTATCTATGCTCAGATTTGTAAACTCTTGAACTATTGTCTAATCTGAATGCCCATATATGGAACGACAAACATTGGATTTAATTTACAGGGTATAACTTTATTCAAGCCTTCAACTCAGAAAGTGAAAGATAGAATATTTAATGCAAAATAATACCCATTTTGTTGTGTAAAATGTTCAATTTATTGTGTATTTGTTTAATATTAGTTTGATATACATTTTTCTGTCATTTAGATCTCATTGTCTCCTCTTTTGCTATGTTAAGTGGGGAGTGAAAAAGGGCATTCCATCAAATTCAATCAAATTTTAATTTTAAAAATCTTTACAATAATAATAATTCAAGAAGTACCTCCTAGATCTAAAAAGAAGAATTAAAATGTCTATTTTGGAAGAGCACGGAGGAAAATTATTGTATCCAATAGACAAAACAGATTATCATTAATATCAAACATTTTTAGAAAAAAACTTTTTCCACAAGAAAAACATCTTGCGGGCCTAGTGGCGACATATCTTCTGGGCTAAACTTGATAGGTTAAGATTCCTTGAGAATAGAAGTCAAGTAGTATTGCCAAGTGAAATCATGGTCACTTGTTAAAGGCCACTTTAGATCTGTAGAATGGGGCATCTTGACCTTCCATCTTAAGGACTGTCTTAAACAGGAGTACATGGTGTTGTTCACACATGTTTCTCCAAAATGATAAAAAAAAAAGGGATTTATGGTGCATTCACACATTGCTTATACAATTTAAAGAGTATTTTCATTTCTTTTTCATCCTAGTTGTGAAAAGGAAACGTTATATCTTTAAAATGGGTCATCTTGACCTTCAGTCTTAAACAAGATAGATAGATGTGTTCACACTCAACCAATATATCTCAAAAATGATAAAAACGGTTTATGGTGCATTCACACATGTCTAAATCAGTTTAAAAGCATACTTTAATGTAGTTTTTTTTACTTATCATTACTGACACAGCAATAACTATGTTGTAATATGTTACATTGACCTTGTTATCACTTCGTTCTGAAAATTATTTACAGGTGTATGTATATGTAGTAGAGTTCACATACAATGTATCTATCTCAACATAATCCTTATATAAAGGTTGACCCATTTTTTATGATGACAAGTATGAAATATATGGGCCTTCATCCCATTGATTTGGATGCAAGATTGCCATGTTGTATTAATCAGATAATGAGGAAACAGATAGGTCACAGCCAGATCCTAGAAATGAAATGAAATGGTGGGTTCGAACATGTCAGAATTAGCTTTCAAAGTTCATTTTTAAATTTTGACAAGATCAGAGAAATTTGCCATGGTAGATTCTGTGTATTATTTGTGATCACCTTTTCAAAGTTCATAAAATTTCATATTTCACTAGATTATTCTCAAACCTTTTTCAGATTTCACTCAAACTGATTTTCTGTTAAAAAAACAAACACTTATGTCTGACTAAGACCTTTCTATTTCCTCAGTATCTGATGAATACAACATGGAAATCTTGCATCTAAATGGGATAAAGGCCCTATGTATTACTTCAATATAATCAATTAGAACCACACATTAATCATTTCATACATAAGGTTCATTCTATCACTCTATCAATACATTTATTTCATCACTTCCTTAATCATTCCATCATTAATGCATTCCTTGATGATAATAAGTTACTTACAACCTGGAAATCTTGCATTCAAATAGAATGAAGGCCCTAAGTTTTACTTAAAACATTATCAATTAGAACCACACATTAATCATTTCATACATGTAAGGTTCATTTTATCACTGTATCAATGATTCATTCTATCACTCCATCTATCACTCAATCAATGCACTACTTGATGATAATGAATTACTTACAACATAAAGTCTTGCATCCAAATGAAATGAAGGCCCCAAGTTTTACTTAAACATTATCAATTAGAACCACACATTAATCATTTCATACATGAGGTTCATTCTATGAATACATTTATTTCATTCTATCACTCATTCCATCATTCATTCATTCCTTAAATGACATGAATAACTTACAACATGAAGTCTTGCTCCCACAGTGGCTGGTTGCCCTTCACTGCTACAGTCGTAGACTTCACATTCTGGAGCTTGAGCGTCACGTAGGAATTGAATTTCTCTGCAAAAGAAGAATTGAAAATAGAGAAAGAAAATTAGTCTTCAAGGCATTGCTTAACAATGTTTCCAGTTTTACAAATCTGAGATGCATGAAACGACATGTCATCAGTGTCTCTGATATGGTGTAATATTGAAGCCCTAAAAAAATTGCACTTCAAAATGATCATGAAGTGTTTAAAAAAGGTAAAAATCTCTAAATGACCGGTTTTACCATAGTCATTTTCCCCAATAGACTGTAGTATTATAAACACCGTTGGGAATACGGTTTTGGAATTTTGATTCCAATCATAAATATCTTGATAACCAAACATGCGATCGGCTTGTAAAAGTCATGGTGTTCCTGACTGACCTAAAGGTTTATAAAAATGATTGGAGCATGAGCTAAATCCATGATTTTGTTTAGAATCTGAGACAAAGATACCTAATCCCTTTATTACCGTTTACATCTTTGTCAGCCACTGAATAGATGCAAAATGATGACAATGCTTTTGCAGTATTTGCTCCAGATTTTCATAATCATGATCACGTAGACTTTCAAGAAATCAACCTAAAGCTATTAGAATGTCCCTGTCCGACACCTGTTTGAGATGTGCAAGTATTACAGTGAAATGTTACATAATGATAACCCATAAATAATTTCTATAGTTGATAAACTTGATTACTGAAATTGCCCTTGAGCCGACATCTTGATTATCTTTGCATGTGTGTTCAAATAGTCAGATCATTGATATAAGCCCTGCAGTGCTGTATTTCTGATTTGGGTGCATGCGTGGTCAAAGTCTAACTTTTGATTAAGAATTCCATCTGTTCCTACGCATAACACATGACTCAGATATACAGTCAACAACTAAATTATTCATACCCCTTGTATATTTTTGTTTTTTATTGTTGTTTTTGTAACTCAGGAATGAAAGGAAGGCTGGTTGAATAAGGGCAATTGTTGAATATTTTAGATGTAAGCATTAATATTTTACATTCTCAAGTAACATAAATCAAGACAAATCAATTTTTCACATACTTAAAGAAACAAAAAATTTGATAAGGGTATAAATAATTTATTTGTTAACTGTACATTCAATTTTTCTTTCCACCATAATTCCTACCGTGTTGAAATCCAAAAATACATCCCACATCATTATTCTAGGTAAAATGTGAAGAGGTCTACGGAGGAAATGCAGGGATGATTGGAGACAATCCCTGCAACGCCTAGTCAACCGAAATAGGACAAAAATCCCCTCAAGACTGTGGAAATATTGTTTTAAAATGCATGCAATTTCTCTTTCCACCATAATTCTAACCATCTTGCAAACCCAAAACACATCCCACATCATTTAATTATTCTAGTAAAAATGTGAAGTCTACGAAGGAAATGCAGGGATGATCGAAGACAATCCCTGCGACGTCTAGTCAACCAAAATAGGACAAAAATCCCCTCAAGACTGTGGAAATATTGTTTTAAAATGCATGCAATTTCTATTTCTACCATAATTCTGGCCATCTTGCACACCAAAAACACATCCCGCATCATTATTCTAGCAAAAATGTAAAGAAGTCTACGGAGGAAATGCAGGGATGCTCGGAGACAATCCCTGCGATGTCTAGTCAACCAAAATAGGACAAAAATCCCCTCAAGACTGAGGAAATATACTTTTAAAATACATGCAATTTCTATTTCTACCATAATTCTGGCCATCTTGCACACCAAAAACACATTCCACATCATTATTCTAGCAAAAATGTGAAGAAATCTACGAAGGATATGCAGGGATGATGGGAGACAATCCCTGCAAAGTCTAGTCAACCAAAATAGGACAAAAATCCCCTCAAGACGGGAGGATATTGGATGGAAGTAAGGTCAAGGAAAGCAAAGATCTTGGTCGGATGACTGCCTTGTTATCTCCTTGAATGCAGACGATGCTCCAAACCAGGGTTGGAGTAAGGTATGGCTTCATTATGTCGCATCATCTTAGGAAAATAATCGCTCATATCTGAGATGCCCACATACCTACTCAACTGTACTTTTAAAGTCACCTGTTCGCACCCCAGGGAAAGTTCAAGCAAAGCTTCACGTTGAAATGACAAACATGCATGCAGAGTCATCATATAACAAAGGGACATACATTTAAGAAAAAGTATGTTTTAAAAACATCAAATGAATTTTTTAAAATAAAAAACTAGTTTTGAAAAGGACAGTTGATAACGGCTAGCCAACCATCAGAGCATGCTAACGATAAGCCCTGCCCAGTTAGGCCTAAAAGTTTTTTGTTCGATACGACATTCATATTCGAAGAAGACCCTTATTAGTTATTGAGTTTTTATATGAAATGATTCTCATACCTCTGTTCCACTAATTGATGTTTTATCATACAACACTCACACCAGAAAAAAACAATAGGTTTATCAAATAGCTACATGTATATAAAAAACTGTACAGCTATACGTTATTTTTAGCAAGTCTGAAAGAAGTGATGAGAGGCCCATACTTGCTGGACTGTACTTATCACTTAAAGGGCATAAGAATTATGACTACCGGTTTGACTACTGTTATAAGTATATCAATGCTGTATCCATGTTATCGTAGTCATTTTGAAACACATTATCATGTCTGTGTCAGTATGCGCTGTATGGGTGAAATCTTGCTGTGGTTCTGTCTCTGTAAGTATGTAACTCTACGTTATAGGAAAGGCAATTGTGCAATGAACTGTAATTCCTAAAAGTGCATATGAGTGCAACCGTGATGCCGACAAAGTTGACGTCTGGAAAGTATCAATTTACGAATAAATGAGCAATTGCATGAGCATGGCATATTAGCGACATTACCAACATGCATGTACATCTGCAAATTATGAACTTGATTTATAAGTCACATGTAAATTACATCTGGCAAAAGACCAAAATATAGAAAATTTGACGATCATTTAGTTTGTAAAATCCAGGGGTAAATCAAATTTGCTTGAATCCTTACTTGATTAAAACCAATATTTTGTATTAAATATGTTGGCAAAATTTTGAATTAAAAAAAAATGGTGAAAAATCTCAAGCACACAGATTATCTTGAAAATAAGTTTGTAAATAGAGAAACATTGGCATCTATTGCCTCATTTATAGCATTAAGAAAAAAATCTGTTTATTTTTCACTAATTAAATTATGGTGTCAAACTCCAATCTAACAAAGATATGAAGATATTCAGACCCTTGTTTTTTAAACAATATTGCTCTACTATTTACAAAATAGGCCTAAATATTTCAAAATATATTTCTTTCTGTGTGAAATGTTTGGACTTACTTGTAATGCAAATTGATATAATTCAAATACCAGATCAATATTTACATTATTGAGCCAATTGATGTTTCCAGTAGTATGACTTTGTGCCACTTTTCTTCCACAACATATAAGTATGCAAAACTAGATATAGATGTAAAGTGCATAGATGTTCATAATAATCTTGGCCTTGTTGTTAATGTTACCATTAGAACTTTTTGAAATATCATTGACAAAATAAGAGTGTTGTAAACATCACTTACATGCACGGCTGAATAACTTGTCAACATATTAGCCGTAAACAATGAATTCCTTGATATCTTGGACGCATTTGAAGCACTTAATTGTCAAAATGTATTGCTCTATGGAATAAAATGACTTTTGTTTTAGGTGAGGCAGATTCAAGGCAAGTTATGATACAAATTTACCTAGTAGGATTAAGGGCAATCGATATTGGAAATTTACTCAATGAATATTGAATTTCTTGGAGAGTAATATGTACCGAGGGAAGGTAGTTCACATAAGTAATTCATTGCTTGTTGATTAGAATAATCACAATCTCTTTTACCAGTACTTAATCCACTTTCTGAAAGTACATACCGGTAGTACATATGGAGACATAAGGCCCGCATATTTTGCAATACATGCTTTACAAAAATTGAATATCATCATCATCATCATCATCATCAAAAGATCATTTTTAGATAATGATTGTAGTTTAGGTAATCACCCTATTACCATGATGATGCCACTCTAAAAGCAGTATCATATCCATTATCCTCCAGTTAAACGAGTTTTGTGTATGCTTAAGAGCAAGCCCACATAATGCATTTAAATTACCATATTAGTCGGAAGTATCTCTACGTGCCTCGATTTTAATGGCTTTGTACTCAACGTATCGTCTACTGAGAGACGTAAGGGCGTTAACCCAATGCAAATGACCTTTTTGCCTGGAGAGATTCAGAGGAGTTTTGTCCTACACAAATATGTGAAGTTAATGCCATTCTAGCTCCCCGAAGAAGATATACAATCTTTTCCAAATGACATATAAATTGCATTAGAGCTCAATGAATTATCTCTTTCAGTGATCCAAACACTCATTTTTTCCTTCATCATTTGTATGATTTGTTTTTTCTTAGTAATGAAATGATTGACCTTAACAAAAATGAGTTGGGGACATGATTTCAAATGAGGAGATAGATGCAAGTACAAATGAACATTACCACTCATGAAATTTCCAGGACAACTGTAATTGCAATGGATTCCACATTAAATGAGACAAATTAGGAGCAACCAAAAAACAGGGAAATGATTATTTGAGCTAAGTCTCTCGTGAGTGAGATTCTGAGTATCCCTGATTTGGACATTAAAAGGGAGAAGGTAGAGTGCTGGTAAGGGGTTATAATTTGATTAGAGCATTTTTTTAGTTTTTGATTCATATGTCAGATATTCCCATTTGAAATCTAATGACCTGCTTTAATGGCCTTAATCAATCTGTATTTCACACTGGTAAGTACAAGAAATAGAGTTTTCCTCGAATCTGCTTTGGCTCATGTTGGATTTAAATTCACACTTGATTTGAAGAGATTGACATCTGGGTGTGTATAAGGGGGGGGGGTGGAGCAAGAGGTATGGGGGGGGGGGTCTTCCCATAGTGTAGATGCATGCATGGAGCAACATGTTGCAGCAATATTTCTTTGCAGCTAGGCCCAGCAATTATTCTGGATCACTACTGGAAG